ACAGTATATCACTCCGTATTGCTATCAATTGTTTGGTGGCAGAAAAGGAGAAGACTGGATATTCCTTGAATCCTTCATAATTAGCTAATGCTTGGTAACCAATAAAAGGCCTCTTCTTTAAAACCCAATCCCCATGAGATGGAACAATCACATGCGATAAGGTGGTTAATATGATATGGACAGATTAATTGGCCACTCTCGGGGCATCCTCCACTCCTAAGGCCTAAGCCCCTAATCGTTTGCCTCAAGAATTACTCTTGCAACCCACTTTTGGGTGATTATTGGGGAGCTCAGTAGCTCACTGAGCTCCCTGCCCTATGCCACTTAGGTACAGGTTTCGAACGCATGGGAGTCCACTCTTCTTACTTCCTGCTCGCACTTATCACCCTAAAAGTTAAAACCAAACATTCTTGCTTCATATATGTGTAATATTACCTATGGAAAGACACTGACCAGCTTCAATCACATCCTCCATCCAACCATATTGCAATCTCTAAAATCAATAAGTATTTGAGTCACTTCTTATGCAGCTATGTTATAACACCGCATAACCAAAGTGTATCACAATTCCATTTGTAGCCCAACCGTATTGAGTCACTATTATCTGCTTTAATACTCACATTTGAGATTGTTGGATAGATTAGTAAGGCTAAAAGAACATGCTCTATCCATCTCTCTCGTCCAAGTTTGTAGAGAGAAAAAAATAACGCCTAAGCAGACAATGTCATGTTAAATTCAACGTTGATGCATCATGAATACTTCTTATTGCGTCCAATCAATGTTTGTGACTAAAAGAGAAACCCATATATAGACAGGTGTAATGGGAATGGAAGTGTACAAACAAACAAGTTATTTGTATAAAGTCATCCGTCAACTCAAAACTACCATTGGGAATCCTATTTCCTTTGATTAAAAAAAAAAAGTAAAAATAGAGAGAGAAAAGAAACAATTGGAAAAGTGGATAAAGCTTAAGTTCAATGCCAACGTATTCCCTTTGGAGCAGCAAGTCTTGCATTCCAGATTTGAGCATGAAATGAAAGACTTCTTTTTTACTTTCTTATCAACAAAAAAAAGTCTTGCATATGATAAAATATGGAGGTCCCAATAATTATAATTTGACGTAGACATGGACACCATACTTGACCAAACTTAGACCTAGAGCTAATCAATTTCCTCTTTTCTAAGTTAAGCAATGACACATTTGGCTAAACTCTAAGACTACCTATACGACCATAAATTAAAAAATAGCAAAAGTAGAGCTGTGAAGGGAAAAATAAGCAAAGCACAGGGCAGGTAGTTGTGTAAGATATAGGGTAGAAAGTACCTCGTCATGACCTAATTTAAGGAGGTTGGTTCCAAAGTTAATGGCAACGCTACCAAACAAGTTGATAACCGCTCCAATTACCCACTCGCCCATGGATGGAAGAGATCAGAAATACTTGTCCACAGTGAAATGAGTACCGCTTTTGCAACTTTAGGAGCAGGAGCATCACCACGGAAGTCAATCAGATCTCTGATGGTTGGGACTTGGAAGACTATAAATAGGCAGACACGTTATCAAAGAATTCACCGAAGGTCAAAGACCAAGCAGAAGTGATAAATAAATAAAAAGAGAGAGAGATTATGAAGATCGACTGGAGATCATAATGTATAGTAATAATTTTTCGCGAAAATGATCTTCAAGTTTAGGAAAATGAAAGTGGGGTTAGATAAAGGAGCTTGAGAAAGTTTACCTTGAAATGAGCCTGCAGGTTTAAACCTATGTATTGTCTGAAATTTGAAGGAAAGCCAGAAGCTAAGCGGATCTAACAATGAACTTCATTTTTTTCTTCTTGTGGTAGTTAATATATACACATAAAGATATCAAATTTTATCTTTCTCGGACTGCAGATTTAAATCCTGTGCGGAAGGGGGGGAAAAAGAGAACCCTAACATGAAATTGGAAGCTCAACGGCCAAAGGAGACAAATAAATTTGATCAGGGAAACTCAAAGATGATGGCTTTGAGTCTTTCTTCCTTCTTTCCTTTCTTGCGTTCCTGGCGAAGTATGAAAAGAACTTCGTGTAATAATATTATATACTCTATTGTTTTCAAAGATAATTATTTTCTAAAAAAAAAATACTCCTACTACAGAGTACTTATATGGCATTTCTCAAACTAGAGGCTGTGGTTGAGGGGTCCATTTCCTCATAAAAAATGGCGTGACAACTTATCAACCCTTTCAGGAGTTACCCTTCCTGTCGGTCGGTAAAGCCTAGTCATTAGCGTATTGGTTTTCAATTTTAAATAAGGNGAACCCTAACATGAAATTGGAAGCTCAACGGCCAAAGGAGAAAACAAATTTGATCAGGAAAACTCAAAGATGATGGCTATGAGTCTTTGGTTCTTCTTTCCTTTCTTGCGTTCCTGGCAAAGCATGAAAAGAACTCCGTGTAATAATATTATATGCTCTATTGTTTTCAAAGATAATTATTTTCTGGAAAAAATACTCCTACTACAAAGTACTTATATGGCATTTCACAAACTAGAGGTTGTGGTTGAGGGGTCCATTTCCTCATAAAAGAATGGCGTGACAACTTATCAACCCTTTCAGGAGTTACCCTTCCTGTCGGTCGGTAAAGACTAGTCATTAGCGTATTGGTTTTCAATTTTAAATAAGGAAAAGAGTTAAAAATATTCTTTACTACCGAAAATTATTTAAAGTTACCCTCTGTTATACTTATCGAGCAAAAATGCCCTTATCGTCTTACTATAAACAAATATACCCCAAGTTAACGGAAGGGCCATGTGGCAGCCATTTAAGCCATTAGGTCCATCAGGGTATATTTTGACAGTAATCCGACCCCGATACCAAATATCCACCCTAGAAATTAAACCCTTATTCAACGTCCCTGGCGACCCCTTCCCCGAGTTCTAAGTCTTCAATCTAAACAAACATAACCATACCTTCAAATATTTTAGTTGCATAGGCTTCATAAATCCTACTACCAAAAGAACTATATAATATTTTCCAATCAACCTCCATAAACAGTTGATCTTGGATTCCTTGACATTACTCTTTCAAATAATTCAGTGCTACTGTCACTCCCATTATTTTTACTCTAAATTGGTCTCAAAGCTAACCTCTTTTTCTTCACATGTTGCCCGAATTCTAATTGTTGCACAAGCTTACACCACTCATTCCTCGTAATGCTACTTCAACAAATTTTTCAGAAATTAAATTCTCGTACTGAATTTCTGTTGATTTATGTGGTAATATTTTAAAGCCCTTTGGACAAATGTCTTAGCCCTTCTAGAAGGCTATGATAAGTGGCAAAAGAAGTGTAAAAAGTGGTAAATCCTCTGCCACGTTTTTTTGCCACAGAAAAAATCAAGTATCATGCAATTAAAGCTATAAATAGCCACCATTGGTTATACAATTCTCCATTATTAGAAACAAAAGCTCTTTCTGCTTAGCTTTCATTCTCCTTTTCGCTTAGCTTCTCTTATTTCCAATTATATTTATAAATTTTCTTTGTCCTTATTCTCTTTTCAATCGTGTTGGATTATTGTAATATAAATATTTTGTTGATTCTTGTATCCTCTAAATAAAATAGAGGTAAGCTTGTTTGATCCTGGGGAAACATTTCACACTACTGAAATAGTTTCTTAAGACAACACGACTCAAGATAATCCGTGTATTTATTTATATTAATATTGCAGTGTTATTGTAATTTTCTAGTTGTCATTTTACTACAATCTAAGAAACTATGGCAAATAACATTGATGCTGAAAATACTACTGATACTACCAATATTGGTGTTGCCTCCGCTGCCCCAGTTCCAGTTGCACTATCATATGCCACGTCATTTCCAGATGTGTCAAATATCGAAATTTTTGCCAATGAAAAGTTTAAGCGTTGGCAAGAACGTATTTTCTTACTGATTGATGTTCATGGTATTGTATATGCACTACTGCATCCACAACCTAATCCACACACTGATAATAAAATAGTGGAATCATGACAACATGCCAACAAGATATGTCGTCATACTATATTACAAACTATTTCAAATGAATTGTTTGATGTGTATTGCAGTTATAAAGAAGCAAAAACTATCTGGGAGCCTTGATTAAAAATTCTCTAGTGAAGATGCTACAAAACAAAAATTTATAGTAGAAAATTTTTATCAATGGCAGACGAGAGGTGATAAAGAGATGAACGTGCAAATCAACGAATATCAAAAATTGTTAGAAGACTTGAAGGTCGAGGGGATGTTATTACCAGAAAAGTTTGTTGCTGGAGTACTGGTTGAGAAGCTGTTTGACTCATGGAGTAACTGCAAAAATAACTTAAAACACAAACAGAAAAATTTCACCATTGAGAAAATTGTGACCCACATCCTAATTGAAGATTCCAACAGAAAAGAATCTGCCACATCTAGGATGACAACTCTTAATACAAATTTAGTGCAAAGCAGTAGCAACAACCGCAAAAGGTACAAGAATAAGTCTCAAAGTTACAAGTCTAAAAATCCTAACCTTAAAAGAAAAAAAAATGCTCTTGTTTTGTTTGTGGAAAACCAGACCATCATGCCTCACAGTGAAGGTACAAAGTAGGAAATGACAAAGGAAAAACTAATACTCCTAAAGCTAACTTAATGAAGGAAGTGATATTGTTGTAGTTGCCATTTCTCAAGTAAATATTGTAGCACATGCAAAAGAATATGTGGTAGACACTGGGGCTACTCGGGACATTTGTGCAAATCGAGAAGCATTTTCCTCTTACAGTCTTGTAGATGATGATAGAGAAGAGGTCCACCTTGGAGAATCAAGTACTACCAAAGTCTTGGGTAAGGGTAAAGTTCTCCTGAAACTCACTTAGGGAAAAACTTTAGCCATTGCTAATGTACTGCATGTTTTTACTATGAGGGTAAACTTGATCTTTGTATCCTTATTGGGAAGAGCCGGAGTGAAAGTGTCATTTGAATCTGATAAGATCATAATGACCAAAAATAATGTGTTTGTGGCAAAGGGCTATTGTAACCAAGAACTCTTTGTACTTAATGTTTATGATGTTATAAATGGAAATGTATCTATTCCTGCTTATATGGTTGAGTCTATTTCTTTATGGCATGTTAGACTAGGACATTTTAATGTCGTGTATATAAAAAAAATGCAGTCACTAGAATTAATATCTGGTTTAGACTCAAATAATATTGACAAATGTGAAATATGTGTTGAAGCTAAAAGTACTAGAAAGACTTATTTTTCTGTAAATAGAGAAACTAAACTATTATCCTTGATTCACATTGATTTAGGCGATTTAAAGCAGACTATGATTAGAGGTAGTAAAAGATATTATGTGACTTTTATTAATAATTTTTCTAGATATACTAAGTTGTATTTGCTTAGAAATAAAAATGATGCATTTAATGCTTTTATTTCTTATAAAACTGAGGTTGAAAATCAACTTAGTAGAAAAATCAAGAGAATTATATCTGATAGAGGTGGAGAATATTTATCTTTAAATGATTTTTGTAAAAAAATGGAATTATTCATGAAGTAACTTCGCCTTATTCACCCGAGTCAAATGGAATAGCTGAAAGAAAAAATAGAACATTGAAAAAGATGATGAACTCTATGTTAGTTACTTCTAATGCTCCTAATAATTTGTGGGGTGAAGCTATTTTATTTGCATGTCACTTACAAATAGAATACCACATAGAAGAACTGGCAAAACTCCGTATGAATTGTGGAGGGGTTATAAATCTAACTTGAAATATTTAAAAGTGCGGGAGTGCCTTGCTTAAGTTCTTTTTCTTGAACCTAAAAAGAGAAAAATAAGTTCCAAAACTATTGATTGCATGCTTATTGGATACGCTGAACATAGTGTTGCATATAGATTTCTTATTTTAAAAAGTGATATGCTTGATTACAATACTATAATTGAGGCAAAGAATGCTGAGTTCTTTGAATATTTATATCCACTATCTAATAAAATTTCTCATACACCTGTTAAAACAAATAATGAAATTACCTCTAACGAGGAACTGAGAAGAAGTAAAAGGCCTAGGAAAGAATATTTTTTAATGAAAATAATTTTCAGACTTTTCTTGTCGATAATGAACCATCAAATTATTCTGAAGTTATATCGTCTTCATAAGTTAATTATTGAAAAAAGGCAATAAAAGTTGAAATCGATTCTATTTTGAAAAATAAAACATGGATTTTAATAGATTTAACTCCTAGTGCAAAGCCCATTGGTTGTAAATGGATTTTCAAAAAGAAATTTAGTCTCGATGGATCTATATATAAATATAAAGCTCGGTTAGTACCTAAAGAATTTTCTCAAAAATAAAATATAAATTATTTTGATACATTTGCACCAATGACTAAAATTTCTTCTATTCGAGTTTTAATTGCCTTAACTTCAATCCGCAAACTTTTTTATCCATCAAATAGATGTCAAAATCCGGATTCGTATTTTGACGGTCCCGGTGGGTCCGTATCGTGATTTGGGACTTGGGCGTATGCCCGGAATCAAATTCGGAAGTCCATATCCTGATATATCGGACTTTGTTGAAATTTGAAAGTTAAAGGCTTAATGAAATTGAAATGTTTAACCAATAGTTAATTTGGATATCGGGTCCGTATTTTGATTTCGGGATCTGGTATAGATCTAAAACCTTATTTATGACTTATATGTGAAATTTGGTGAGAAACGGAGTTGGTTTGACGTGATTCAGACAACTGGTTGTAAAAATAGAAGTTTCAAAGTTTTCTTGAAAATTTCATTTGATTTGGTGTTCAATTCATAGTTCTAGGTGTTATTTTAGCGATTTGATTGCGCGAGCAAGTTCGTATGATATTTTTAGACTTGTGTGCATGTTTGGTGTAGAGCCCCGAGGGCTCGGGTGAGTTTCAGATAGGCTACATAGTGAAATTTGACTTGGAAAATGTTGGTGGTGTTTCAGATTTTGTTGCAGGCCTCTGATCTCGCATTTTCGAGATCAGGCATCGCATTTACAACCTCTGAGGGGTTCGCATTTGCGAACTACTCATCGCAAATGCGAAGAGTAGCTGGGCCACCATATACTCGCATTT